TTCTGAAAAAGCTGACTTGTGCGGTTTCCCAGGCAGCCGCCATCAAACGCTCTCTCAGGATCCCCCCCCCCCCAAAAAAACCCTCCTCTCCACCAGCCCCTTCTAAGCCTGGCCGGTCAAAGCTGAAAATGTACAGCAGCACCCCTGAGATTTCACACGAAGGACCAAAGGACGCTGCTTGTTTGAGGACTTTAGCATCTCAGGGCGTCCGCATTTGACCTTCGTATGAAATGAAGGGACTATTGGATTCAGCAAATATGTACTGGGCAGCAGGAGGAAAACAAGGACGCTAAGAATTGTTTGGCAGTGGAACGGACTCCCTTGGAAAATGGGCTCTCCTACCTTGGAGGTTTTAGAGCAGAGGCTGGAGGGCTCTCTGTCATCGATGCTTGAGCTGAGATTCCTTCATTGCTTTTACGTGGTGTTATAAGTCAGGACATTAATAGACAGGATATTAAGTGGTTTTTATACACAACAACAGCGGCAAGAGTTTTGTTGGCCCAGAAATGGAAGCAAGAAGAAACCCCGACGAAAGAAGAATGGCAGACGAAATTAATGGACTACGCAGAATTGGACAAAATGACAGGACAGATTCGAAACCTGCGGGACCAGAGATTCGCAGAAGGTTGGGAGAAATATATGAATTATTTGAAGAGCAACTGTAATCAACAAATTACGCTAGTAGGACTACAAGAAGTTTTGTAAGGAGGAAAATATGAAATATTGCAAAGAAGAGAGATATTAGTTATGATATTTAAATGTAATAGTGAAAGTCAGAAATGTAAATTAGGTGAAAAATTGGAAAAAATTCAGATGTGATTGATGGAAGTCTAAAAAATTGTATAAGGTATAAAAGTATGTTTAATAATTGTTGAAAATGTTATGATAAAAACTAACAAAACATATTTTTAAAAAGAGATTCCTTCATTGCAGGGGGTTGGACTAGATGGCCACTGGGGTCCCTCCCTCCCAGCTCTACGATGCAATGCATTCAAAGATGTGCCCTTTCTCGCAGAATCATAGAAATGTAGAGTTGGAAGGGATCCCCAAGGCCCATCTAGTCTGACCCCTTGCAGTGCTGGGCGACGCAAAACTCAGAAAGTGCCCAGTCTCTTCACTGTTCATTAGAAAGAAAGAAGGAGCAAAAGAAGATGGAGAGATCTGCGGTCATCACGTTGTTCACAAAAGCATTTCCTTTTCCTGCCAGTAACACAGCATGAGAAACCTTGACCTCGCAGATCTGCGTCAAGGATGTAATCCTAACCCTACTTTGCTCGGAGTAAGCCCTGCTGAAGGCAGTACGACTTACCTCTGAGCAGACAAGGCAAAATGGGAAAAGAATTGAGTGCAAATAATACATCGGAGGCACTAGAAAGAAAAAGGCTCCCCATTCTGGAGTTCAGAGGTACACTGCCCTTGCACATGGAGGCTCCACTGAGCAGCCACAGGGCCATCTCTCTGTGAATCCAGCCTTAGCCTTAAGCTGGCCTCCTTCCAGCTGTTTTGGATTACAAGCTGTGCTGGCTCCGGCCGATGGGGCATGTGGTCCAAAACATCTGGACGGGGGCGAGATATGGCCCAATCGGATTTCCTTTATGGTGGATTCCGTCCTGCCTTAAGCATAGCTGAAGGGTGAAACCTGGACATCGCCTTGAGCTTCACAAACCTCTCTCCTAAATCTCATTTCGGCACCCCTTCCCAGTAACTGGAATTAGGGTGACAGCGCAATCAATATTTCCTTCCAGTGAGTGTGCACGATGAAGCAAAATAAATAAATAAGGCAGCCCAACAGCAGAGAAGGTTCTGATCCAGACACTTTTTGCTTCAAAGGGTCTTGCAAAGGAGTGGTGATCTTGAGGTTTGGGACCTCGGGCTCTCTTAAACGTGGACTGTATGGGTTTTTTGTAGGGTTTCCTATTTATTATCAGTGGGAATAAGGGTTAAGTCTACTGATTGCTAAGTATTCGTCTTAAAACTAAGAGTGCAATTCTCCAGGCACCAACTCATCCACAAGAACATCCAACATCCAAATGACGTTCCCACTGCCCTCGGCTCATCTCGACCTAACTTACATACATAAAAAGTTTAATCAAAATGGTAGACATATATATTTCTTGTTAAGTATACATACATTTATAATTTTTATATATATATATATAAATCCTATATATTTGGGGGAAAGGCGCAGGGAAATCTTAGGTTATAAACTTTTCAGGAATAAAAAATATCGCATACTTTAGAGAAAAACAACAGCAACCACCCACGGGCCCAATCCACTAGGAACATCCCCTGAACGTGCACCATTGAAATGCACTGGTGCTCTCCTTCCTTGGTGCAGGGCTCATGCAAAAGGCATTCCTAGTGGATCGTGGCCAAGGTTTCTTTGGCAAAAAAAGAGGGGTGTGCATGTGTGTTTTCTTTGCAATAGGTTAAATAAAGCTTTGTAATAAATATACTCTGCTATGGTGACTAAGCCCTATGAGCGTTAACACCCAGTTGCACTCTGCTTAATTTACTACATTTCTCGGTAAGCTGAAACGCTGCCCCGCTCTTCTCCAGAGAGAGAAACGTCTAAGCACTGAAATGCGAGGGTTGGAGAACCATGCGGTGCAGCAATGGCTGGGCTAACAGCGTTTCAGACTGCAGGTTCATGCATGCATCCCCGCAGGAAGAAAATTAGTGTGTCAGGGTCCTTACTTAGCCTTCTCCCTGAGAAGCTAGCTCTAGAGGTGCAAGGATCCTGGCTCCCCGGTTCAGCTAGAGGATAACCTTCCTGCTATCTGGAGTGACGCAGTTCCTCTGTGTTAATGGAGAGAGGCAAACCACGACTGAATGATAAAACATTGGGTGGAATAGCCTGTAGCTCTTTATCTCCACTTAAATCCAGATTCTGACTTTAGCCAAAGGAAACCTGTTGCCATTTTTTTTGAAATGGGAAGACTGGTGATCTACCCTCCCCCTGCTGTCCCCGTTCCCAGAGGGACCACGTCTGAGGCATCAGCTCTCCAAGCAAGGGGGATTACCTTGCTACGGAGTTTATGGCAAGGGGAGCGACCCCGCTGCTGAGGTTATAGCGTTTTGCTGCAGGGCAGAGATTTCAAAGCTTTGCCCACATTGACTTACCGTATTTTTCGCTCCATAGGGCGCACCGAACCATAGGGTGCACCTAGTTTTTAGGGGGGGAAATAAAGAAAAAAAATTATTTCCCCCCAACCGAGGGTCGGGGGAAGCCCGAGCTTCCCCCGACCCCAGAACAGGCTGCTATCCGCAAGCCTTCAGAGCCCAGCGGGAACTCCCGCCGCGCTCAGAAGGCTTGCGGATAGCTGCCTGCAGCCTGGAGAGCGAGAGGGGTCAGTGCGCACCGACCCCTCTCGCTCTCCAGGCTTCAGTGAGAGCCTGCATTCACTCCATAGGATGCACACACATTTCTCCTTCATTTTTGGAGGGGGAAAAGTGTGTCCTATAGAGGAAAAAAATACGGTATTTACAGAAGACCCTGTCCGCCAATTGCAGCGGGCTCTGGAGTACACCCTAGGGGACATCTCTGCTGTAGGGGACATCTCTGCTGTAGGGGACATCTCTGTGTAGAGATGGAACTCAGGCCTCTCGGACGCTCGGCTGCCGCTACTGACCTTCCCATCCAAAGATCCCTCAAAAACTCCTGGGTCTCTGGGAGAGAGGTCGAAAGCGACTGCTGTAGTGCAGGCAAAAAGGTAAAGGACCCCTGGACGGTTAAGTTCAGTCAAAGGCGACTATGGGATTGTGGTGCTCATCTCGCTTTTCAGGCCGAGGGAGCTGGCGTTTGTCCACAGACAGCTTTCCGGGTCATGTGGCCAGCAGGACTAAACCGCTTCTGGCACAACGGGACATTGTGGCGGAAACCAGAGCGCACAGAAACGCTGTTTACCTTCCAGCCGCAGCGGTACCTATTTATCTACTTGCACTGGTGTGCTTTCAAAGTGCTAGGTTGCAGTGCAGAGCTAGCTGATGTAGAACTGCACAGTTGGAGGGGGCCCACAACGGTCATCTAGTCCAACCCCAGTCGCAAACTTCTGGACAGGAGAATATCGCCCTCAGGGCCCTACTTTCATTTCCCACCTCTTATAGCTGGGGGTGTTCGTCTTTCAAACCAAGGAAGAGATGTCCTTGCAAGCTACACATGCCTGAGAACAGTCTTTACTGACCCCTTGGGTGGCGCTGTGGTCTAAAGCACAGAGCCTAGGGCTTGCCGATCAGAAGGTCGGCCATTCGAATCCCCGCGACGGGGTGAGCTCCTGTTGCTCGATCCCTGCTCCTGCCAACCTGGCAGTTTGAAAGCACATCAAAGTGCAAGTAGATAAATAGGTACCACTCTGGTAGGAAGGTAAACGGCATTTCTGTGTGCTGCTCTGGTTCGCCAGAAGCAGCTTAGTCATGCTGGCCACATGACCCGGAAGCTGTACGCCAGCTCCCTTGGCCAATAAAGCGAGATAAGCGCCGCAACCCCAGAGTCGTCCGCGACTGGACTTAACGGTCAGGGGTCCCTTTACTGGTCCTCTGCAACACAGACACAGGTGGGGCAGGGATGCGCCTCTGCAGCACTGGCCCTGCATGAAGCACTCAGGGTCTGTGGGGGCAGCACCTCGACCAAAACGGTGCCCCTTCTTCCCTTCTTCGCTGGAATCCTCTTCCCAGTTCCGATACTGGGCTCCCACACCCAACGGGGAGAAGGATATCTGAAGTAGGAACATCACCCTCTTTACCTTTCTAACTGCTAAATGTGTTTAATTCAACTTAGACCTCAAGGGTAGAACATTTCTTTTGTTAGTGTTTGGATATTTAGAGGGTGATTTTTTTGTGGGGGAGGCAGGGGGCATAAGTCACTGCACTTGGCAATGCCATACTTAATACTGCTGCCCTACAAGGTTTACAAGGAGTTAAGTGTCTCTCAGAGACCTGTCTGCAAATCGGACCTTTGGAATTTGCGAAATTTCAGCCCTTAAGAACTGCTGAGTATCAAATCTGTGCGAGATTTTTTATTCCAGCTGTAGTGTGAGTGTGTGTTTCTGGACTTAACCATCCAGAGGTCCTTTTACCTTCCCCTCAGAAAACTCCCCCCCCTTTTTTTCAGGTGGAGATTACAGTAAATGGTGTGCTTGTGGTTCCAGCTCTGAAAGCTATGTTTTGGTCACGAGAACCCAGCAAGTTGGGTCCATGGAGGTGCGACAGAGGTGGACCCTGATCGCAGTTCAAGTGCCAAGCACGTTCCCTCGCAAGCACCCGCAGATTCCCTAATCGCCTTTCCCATCCCTGAATCGCAGCCCTAACTCCTTACTCTGCATAGTTGTCTTTAAGGCACTAGTGAAATATTGCAATACGTTATCATATGAGGCTATAGAAATAGATATAAAGTGTCCCCGTTCGTCCCCCCCCCCCATATATTAATGTGCAAAGAAGCTCGGGATCTGATGGCTCGTGTGAAGAAGAAAAGGAAAAGGCGTTAGCATCTGTGGCTGGAGCTTCGGAATGGATAAAATGCATAGGACAAGCTAATGGGTTTCGGATTTAGAGGAGATGAAACTAGAAGGGGATGGAGACAGCCGAGGACTTGGGGGGGGGGTCCATCTGCACTACAAACATCTACCAGTTTCAAACCAGTTAAGCATCGTGGCATTCCTCAAAGCATCCTGGGAACTGTAGTTTCGTGGGGGTGTCCTGAGACCTTTCTCGGAAAGAGCCCCAGAGAACTACATTTCCCAGGGTGCCTTGCAGAGAGGGATTGCAGGCTCAAAGAGTTAAATCTGTAGTGTAGACATGGGGGGGGGGAGACGCCATAATGTGGAGCCCCCAGCAAGCCGCTCTGCGTGTCCTAAAGCCTTCCAGCTGTGCGAGAGGGGGAGGATGGCGCGAGGCTCCGGGGGCCTTCAGAGGTCGGTGCTCGACTTTGCCGTCAGGGCCTGGATCCGGGCAGAGTTGCACATCTTGCAGAGGATGTGGCCGTCCAAGGGGTAGCAGCCCTGGTTGTCGCCTTCGGACAGGCGGCCTCCGCAGTCCTGTACAAGAGGGTGAGAAAGACGCATTAAACAATTTCAGGCTTGCAAGCAACTTTTCACAATGACTCTACAGTGGTATCTTGGTTCTCAAACTTACTGTATTTTTTGGCCTATAAGACACACTTTCCCCCCTTCAAAAAATAAGGGGAAATGTGTGTGCGTCTTATGGAGTGAATGCAGGCTCCTTGGCTTCAGCGATAGCAACGCGAAGCCTCTGAAGCGCAGAGGGAGAGCTGCCCCCGCGCTCCGGAGGCTTCGCGTTGCTTTCGCTGAAGCCGCCTGAAGCCCCCGGAGCACAGGGAACTCCCGCTGCGCTCCGAAGGCTTGCGGATAGCCGTCTGAAGCCTGGAGAGTGAGAGGGATGGGTCACACCAATCCCTCTTGCTCTCTAGGCTTCGCTTCGCACAGTTTTCCCTCTCTGCGCAGCGCCCCTTCAGTGAAGCAGGAGGAGAAATGGAAGGGGCTCCGTTTCTCCTGCCGCTTCACTGAAGGGGCGCTGAGCAGAGAGGGGGGAGAATTTTTTCCCCCTGTTCTCCCCCTCCTATGGTCCGGTGTGTCCTATAGAGCGAAAAATACGGTAATCTGTTCTGGATGTCCGTTCCAAAACCAAAGCATTCCAAAACCAAGGCGCACTGCTTTCCCATAGCGAGTAATGCAATACGGATTAATTCGTTCCAGACTTTTAAAAACAACCCCTAAAACAGCAACTTAAGGTTTTAGGCTTGCGCCAGAAGCAGTTTAGTCCTGCTGGCCACATGACATGGAAAGCTGTCTATGGACAAACGCTGGCTCCCTCGGCCTGAAAGCAAGATGGAGCGCAGAAACCCTGCAGTCGCCGATGACTGGACTTAGCCATCCAGGGGACCTTTACCACTGATCTATGCACAGCACATCCTCTGCATGCGCAGAAGATACTGACCTCGCAGCGGTAGCACTCCACATGGAAGTCACGGTCCAAGGCCACAATGCGCACAGTCTCCTCCTGGCCTTGTGCGGGCATGATGGGCTCTTTGCAGACAGAGCAGCGGGGAGCGAATTTCCTAGGGAACGGAGAAAGTTTGCTGTGAAAGCTCTGCTCATGGAGCCAAGCGGAATCTGTGCATCCTGCACTGACGCTGGGAGTTCCAGGGCTCGAGCAAAGAATATCACCGCCCAAGGTTTCGATGTTCAGGAACTGATGGGCGGGTGGTACACTGAAAAGGATGCTGTGGCGTTTGCCCATTCTTTGGGGATATGTTTGTATTGGGGGAGAGAAAGGGTTAATAGGTTGACCAATAAGAAAGCCCAGAGGCAGAGCCTACCTGATTTTGAGGCTCAGCTCAGAGGTTTTGACAACTAGTTCGGTTGGTTCTTTTTTTGGGGGGGGCGCGGAGATAGAGGAGTCAGAGTGAGTTAGAGACAGGGACAAGACTGAGAAGGAAGAGAGTGACAGCGTTTCGAATATATTTTAAAAAGCCACTTCCGCCCTGCAGAGGAGGTGGGGTTGCGGGATTCACACTCCCCCCGCGGGATTGGGGGAATCCCCAGCCGCGTCACCCCCTGGCCAGCCAATCAGCTGGCTCTGGGGGTGTGGCCTGCCCTATTTAAAGGAGGCGCGGCCGGGGATCTCCCTCCTTCCCCGCCTGCCAGCTGTTCCTGCTTTTCCCACCTATAAGTTTTTCGTTCCTTGACCTTGCTATGGACCTTGGCTGGTCGCTGTTGAGGGGCCTGGTAGGAATTTTTCCACTTGGCAAATTGGCACCAGCCACTTGGTTTTCGCCTACCTCGTAGGAAATCATCACAACTTTCTGGGTATTGGCAGTTGGGCATTGGTATTGTTCTGTTGATGGAAGAGGGGAGGAAGCGCCATCACCTGCCCCGCATATTGAATGGTGGTCTGATAAAGGATTCTGGGGGGCGTGGCCCTGTCCGAAGCCTGGGGAGGTGAGGGCCTAAGCCACGCCCCCTAGCGGTGACCCCGGGGGAGTTCCTAGTTGATGTGCATCAGCAGGACACCCACTACTGGTGGTTAACCCTTCCCGGACTTCAAGCGGACTGGCTGAAGTCGGATATAGTTGGTTAGGACCAATGCCTAAGCCAATACCGCTCATCACCTGTAACCAATAAAAGTTGTGGCCTTATTTAGCCCATTAACCTGAATAATTGTGTCATGTGTCTTTATTTCCACTGGGGGGGGCGGGAACTCGCCATGCAACTTCTTTCTGTTTGAAATAAACTTTAATCTTGTTAACTCTACCTGACTGTGACTCAATACTTTTAGGGGGGAACCCTGGGTCCCCCCCCCACAAAATTGGTGGCAGTGGAAGGATAAAGTAGTGGTGTACAGGTCAATAGCCCGTGAAACGACCGGGGGCTCTGTACGAACGCCACAGATGCTTTTGGCCGAGCCGAAATGAACTTGCAGCACAATAATAAGATAATAGCAGTCCCTCCCACATCGCAAAAGGCCTAAACACCAGCCCAAACGCAAACCTCCGCTTCTTCCCCTCCCTGAGCCCCACAAAAGAGGCGAAGAGAAGCGCAGCCACCTGTGGAAATCCTCGATGCAGTGGATGTTTCCGCCAGCGTCCACGGTGAAGGGGATCCCGTCCAGGCTGCGCTGACAGATCACGCAGGTGAAACAGTGAGGGTGGTAAGCCTTGCCGGTGGCTCTCAAGATGCGCTCCATGATGGGCTTGGCGCAGACGCTGCACTGCTCCAGGGTGCTCTGCGGAGAGAAAAGGCAGCCGGAGACCGTCAGTCGCGCCAAACCTGCAAATCTCCCCAGGCCCCTCGCTCCTAGACATGGCATGCTCTCAGGGCTTGGATGCACAGACAATGCTTATTTTATTTACTTGTTGCATTAAGTTCCCACTTCTCCCCCAAAGAGCTCAAGGGGGCGTGCAGAGTTCTCCCTCTTTGATCCTCACAACGACCCTGTGAGGTAGGCTAGGCTGAGAGGCAGGGGATGGTTATGCCCAAGGAGCTTCGTGTTTCAGGGAAGTGGGAGAAAGGAGAAAAGAATAATAAGATGGATTGAGGAAATATACATGTAAATGTATGGGGGATGGGGAAGAAATGGTGTTGGTTTTGGTACCGTATTTTTTGCTCTATAGGACGCACTTTTCCCCCTCCAGAAATGAAGGGGAAATGTGTGTGCATCCTATGAAGCGAATGCAGGCACCTTGGCTTCAGCGATAGCAACGTGAAGCCTCCGAAGCGCAGACGGAGCGCTCCCTCTGCGCTCTGGAGGCTTCGCATTGCTTTCGCTGGAGCCTGGAGAGTGAGAGGGGTTGGCGAGAGGTCCCGCTGCGCTCAGGAGGCTTCAAGTTCCTTTTGCTGAAGCCAGGAGAGTCTTGCTCTCCAGGCTTCAGTGAAAGGAACCCGACGCTATCTGGAGAGCGAGAGGGGTCGGTGTGCACCTCCAGATAGCCGCCTGAAGCCTCTAGAGCGCGGCAGGAGCTCCGGAGGCTTCAGGTTGCCTTCTGCTGATGCCTCTAGAGCGAGAGGGGTTGGTGCACACCGACCCGTCTCACTCTTCAGGCTTCAAAGATAGCTGTCTCAAGCCTCCGGAGTGCAGTGGGAGTTCCCGCTGCGCTCAGGAGGCTTCGGGTTCCTTTCGCTGAAGGCTAGGTGCCCCTTCAGCTAAGGCAGAGTGCCCCTTCAGCTAAGCGGGAGGAGAAATGGAAGGGGCTCCGTTTCTCCTGCCGCTTCACTGAAGGGGCGCTGTGCAGAGAGGGGGAGATTTTTTTTTCTTGTTCTCCCCCTCTAAAACGAGGTGCGCCCTATTGTCGGGTGCATCCTATAGAGCAAAAAATACGGTACATCTGTATTGTAATGTAATACGTGAAAACCAATTAAAAAAGAAAGAAATGTGAACCCTGGTTTCCCAGGTCCCAGCCTGGCACTCTAACCACTACGCCACGCTGCCTTCTCCTGGCAACCTTGAAATCGTTGCCTACAAAGACAACGTGGCTGGTTTTACATGTTTAAAACGTGTCTTGGTTTTTAATTTCAACGTTTTTCTTTTCCACGGACATACGTCACGTGTGTTGCACTCACCCACGATGGTAACAGCCGCTTTTCATTGCAGTGCCAGCCTCTTGCAATGCGGCCGTTCAATTTTAATCAGAAACAGGACGCTGAGCTCCTCTCTCCACTGGACAGGGGAGTCTGTCGGGATGCACATGGCCAGTCACCCTTGGCCATCCGACATGGTGGGTCTCTGCAACTGGTGACTGGCCAAGCTGAACCAATCCGTTCATTGCAGCCTGTTGAGGGCTAGAAAACTGAGCGCTCCCACATGCCATTATTTCTCCAATTCCAGGCAGGGAGTTTGTCTGGTTCCAGATGGCAGCTGGCAAAGCTGCACTGGGCTTGAGGAATCACCCAACTTGTGCAGTCCTGATTTAAGCTTAACAGCACAAGAAGAACCTGCTGGATCAGACAGGGGGCGGGTGGATGTGGAGGACTCCCTGGTCCTGAATGGGGCAACTGTGCCCCTGAAGGACCAGGTGCGCAGCCTGGGAGTCATTCTGGACTCACAGCTGTCCATGGAGGCGCAGGTCAATTCTGTGTCCAGGGCAGCTGTCTACCAGCTCCATCTGGTACGCAGGCTGAGACCCTACCTGCCTGCAGACTGTCTGACCAGAGTGGTACATGCTCTAGTTATCTCACGCTTGGACTACTGCAATACGCTCTACGTGGGGCTACCTTTGAAGGTGACCCAGAAACCACAACTAATCCAGAATGTGGCAGCTAGACTGGTGACTGGGAGCGGCCGCCGAGACCATATAACACCGGTCTTGAAAGACCTACACTGGTTCCCAGTAAGTTTCTGAGCACAATTCAAAGTGTTGGTGTTGACCTTTAAAGCCCTAAATGGCCTCGGTCCAGTAGACCTGAACGAGCGTCTCCACCCCCATCGTTCTGCCTGGACACTGAGGTCCAGCGCCGAGGGCCTTCTGGCGGTTCCCTCCCTGTGAGAAGCAAGGTTACAGGGAACCAGGCAGAGGGACTTACTGGTGGTGGCGCCCGCCCTGTGGAACGCCCTCCCGTCCGATGTCAAGGAAATAAACAACTATATGACATTTAGAAGACATCTGAAGGCAGCCCTGTTTAGGGAAGCTTTTAATATTTGATGAATTATTGTATTTTAATATTTTGCTGGAAGCTGCCCAGAGTGGCTGGGGAAACGCAGCCAGATGGGTGGCGTATAAGTAATAATAATAATAATGATAATAATGATGATGATGATGATGATAATAATAATAATAATAATAATAATAATAATAATAATAATAATAATAATAATAATATATTGTTATTGAGTTCAGCATCCTGTTCTCACAGTGGCTGGCCAGATTCCTGCAAGCAGAACCTGAGCACAAGAGCAACTCTTCCTGCGGTCACCAGCAACTGGGATTTGGAAACATTTCTGTCTCCAAATGTGGAAGATGAAGGACCCAAAGCAATGGATTCGAGTCAGAAGAAAGGAGATTCCAGCCAAACATTATGAAGAATTTCCTGATAAAGAAGGCTGATCACCGAAGAATTGATGCTTTTGAATTCTGGTGCTGGAGGAGACTCTTGAGAGTCCCATGGACTGCAAGAAGATCCAACCTCTCCATTCGGAAGGAAATCAGCCCTGAGTGCTCACTGGAAGGACAGATCCTGAAGCTGAGGCTCCAAGACTTTGGCCACCTCATGAGAAGAGAAGACTCCCTGGAAAAGACCCTGATGTTGGGAAAGATGGAGGGCACAAGGAGAAGGGGACGGCAGAGGACGAGATGGTTGGACAGTGTTCTCGAAGCTACTAAAATGAGTTTGACCAAACTGTGGGAGGCAGTGGAAGACAGGAGGGCCTGGCGTGCTCTGGTCCATGGGGTCACGAAGAGTCGGACACGACTAAACGACTAAACAACAACAACAAGAGCCATTTAGCAGTGGCATGGACTCTCCTTCCTTGGAGGTTTTTAAGCAGAGGTTGGGTGGTCATCTGCCAGGGATGCTTTAGCTGAGATTCCTGCGTTGCAGGGGGTTGGACTAGATGACCCCTGGGGTGCCCCCAACCCTACAATTCTAGGACTCTATGAAATATTTTGTCCATTCACCTTTGTGTTTTCTTTAGTACGAATGCATCAAAATATTCTTCATGCAACATTGTCTGCTATGATCTTCTTTTTTAAAAACAAGAGGAATATTTATTTGATTTTTAAAAGTGTAAACTTATAACAAAATCAATTAAATAAGCCATATAACGAGATAACTCTGAATCTCGCGACTCCCTCCCCTCCCCTTCATGGGTCCTAATATCAATATTTACATCTGCATATCAGTTGATTATCCACATTTTTATCCGTCTAAATTGTCGCTAGTCTTTGTTACCTTACAAGTGAGATTAAAATCCTGCTAATGTTTTCATCTGCTTACAATGGTCTCCTAAATAAATAATAATTCCCCGCCCCCCATTCTTTTTTAAAGTTCTTGTCCTCTTAGTTCCTGAGCTTTCCGGTTAATTTTGCCATTTCAGCATAGTCCCTATCAACTTGGTTTGCCATTCTTTCCCTGGTCGGGATTGGGTCCCTTCCAACTCTACAAGTCTAGGATTCTAGGAAATATTTCATCCATTCACCTTTGTGCTTTCTTCAAAATATTCTTCATGCTTTGTTGTCTGCTATAATCTTGTTTAGTGGGCTGTGCAAATCTTGTTTAGTGGGCTGTTTTTTTTCCAGAGCAGCATAAAGGTATTTGGGATGACTTCTTGGAACCAGGGCGGTCAGCCACCCAGAAACATTTGGGAACCACTGCTTTAGATTTAAAGATAAAGGGACCCCTGAACATTAGGTCCAGTCATGGCCGACACTGGGGTTGCGGCGCTCATCTCGCTTTACTGGCCAAGGAAGCCGGCGTACAGCTTCCGGGTCATGTTGCCAGCAGGACTAAGCCGCTTCTGGCGAACCAGAGCAGTGCACGGAAACGCCCTTTACCTTCCCACTGGAGTGGTACCTATTTATCTACTTGCACTTTGACGTGCTTTCGAACTGCTAGGTGGGCAGGAGCAGGGACCGAGCAACAGGAGCTCACCCCGTCGCGGGAATTCAAACCGCCGACCTTCTGATCGGCAAGCCCTAGGCTCTGTGGTTTAACCCACAGTGCCACCCGCGTCCCAAAAATAGTTTTAAATAAATGCAATTTACCCTTGCGACTTTATTGCTTGGTCCTTTTCCCTCCTTGCACGCAGTTCTGGATCTACAGCAGCCTCTGTTTTTATTCTGTTGTTCTCCTCCTCTTTCTCGGGAGGAGAATCGCCCTTGCTGTGGAATTTGCTTTGCTCCCACCAGGATGACAGGATAGACAAATTAATCCCTCCATGATGTAAATGTGTTCTGATGGCAAGCCTTCCTGAGCGTCAAGCTGCGATCTAACATCTTAACAGCTGTACACACAGCTCAGGGCAAGCGGCTGCTAGCTTCCTGCTCGGCCCACTGTGGCACGTAGCTGCTGCACCTCTGTGTCAAACGCTCTTTGCCTTCCTGGGGGTGAGACCAGAAGATTAAGATGCCTCAAACTCAAGTCCAAGGCCGAGAGGGAGCTGGCTGGGGTCCCTTTGGAGAGAGGAAAAGCAACTCTGCACATGCTCAAAAGAATAGAAGGATACTGGCAAGCTGGAAGATGGGCAGAGGAGGGCAACCGGGATGATCAAGGGTTAAAAGCTTACTGGGAAAT